CAAATGTCTATCGACTGATGAACAGAAAAAGAAGATGTGGTGTATATATACAATGGAATCTTACTCAGCCATATAAAAAGAATGAAATCTTGTCATTTGCAACGACATGGGTGGAGCTAGAGAGTATAATGCTAAATGAAATAAGCCAGTCAGAGAAAGACAAATACCATATGATTTCACTCATATGTGGAATTTAAAAAACAAAACAAACAAGCAAAGGAAAAAAAAAGAGAGAGAGACAAACCAAGAAACAGACTCTTAACTGTAAAGAACAAACTGATGGTTACCAGAGAAAGGTGGGTAGGGGATGAGATAGGTGACGGGATTAAGGAGTGCACATGTCGTGATGAGCACCAGGTAATGCATGGAAGTGTTGAATCAATATATTATACACCTGAAACTAATATTACACTGTATGTTAACTGGAATTTAAGTAAAAACTTAAAAAAAAAAAATTGGTGAAGTGTGAATCAAGACTCTAATATAGCTAATAGTAATGCACCAATATTAAATTTTGATATGTGTACCAAGGTCATGTAAGATTAAGAGAAATGGGGTGAAAAGTATGCAGGAATTCTCTGTAATATCTTTGTAAATTTCCTGTAAATCTGAAATTATTCAAAAATAAAAATTTATTAATTTTTTTAAAGAATATATATTCATTAGGTTTTATTTTCTGCTTCTGTCAGTTACAGACAAATATATAACAACTTCCAGTATGGCAATCTATTTCTTTTTATAATTCTGTTAAATTTTGCTTTATGTACTTTGAGATTATATGATTAGATGCATATAAATTTTATTTTATTTTTTTAAAGATTTTATTTATTTATTTGACAGAGAGAGACACAGCGAGAGAGGGAACACAAGCAGGGGAGCTGGAGAGGGAGAAGCAGGCTTCCCGCCGAGCAGGGAGCCCGATGTGGGTCTCGATCCCAGGACCTTGGGATCATGACCTGAGCCAAAGGTAGACGCTTAATGACTGAGCCACCCAGGCGCCCACAAATTTTATTTTTTATTGTCCAAAACTGACCTTTATTCTTTGTGACAGTTCCCATGGGTCCAAAGAATGAGCAATCAATCAGGTATTTACTTTCTAGGTGTCTCTGGGCACATACAAATCTAAAATAATTATATCTACTTGTCAAATTAAACATTAAGCAATTGTATGGCATCTTTTTTTCCCTCTCTTTACTTGCTACCTTTGTTTTTTATATCTCTTGTGAACAACAAATATATATTATTTTAATCCAACCTCAGAACCACTTTTAACTAGAGCATTTAGTCCTATTTACACTTACTATAATTATTTACATACTTGAACTTATTAAATCTATTCTCTTTGTCCCATCAGTTCAACATTCCTTTACCTCTTCTTTCTTCCTTCTCTTTAGATTAATTTTTCTCTTTTCTACTAATCTAGAAGTTACCCACTATGTCTTCTATTCTTTTCATAGTTACTCTAAAAGAGCACTATCCAATAGCACATTCTGTAATAATGGAAATATTCCAAATCTGTATTGCTCAATAAGATATCCACTGGTCACATGCAATTGAAATATACCTAGTGCAACTCAGAAACTAAATTTTTAATTAAATTTAAATAGCTACACTTGGCTACCACATTGGACAAAGAAGTTACAGAAACTATAACATCTACCCCTACACAAAGTCAGAAGTTAATATTCTGTTCTTGAACAATTAATTCTAGGCCCTTACAATATTTTACCTTCCTCCCAGCTTAGGTTATTATTTTTGTATTTGCTAATGTTCTTTTTTAAAATCCCCAAAGATAGCATTATTATTTGATACAGTCCACATTTATATTTATCCACATATTTATCATGTTATTTTCTCTTCGTTCACTTTTCCCTCCATCTGAGATCATTTTCCTTATTTCTAAAATCCTTGTTTAGAATTTCCATTAATGTTGGTCTATTGCCAGGAAGCTTTTTTTTTTTTGAGATTTAAAAAAATGTTTAAAGTAATCTCTACACCCAATGTGGGTCTTGAACTTACAACCCTGAGATCAAAAGTCACATGCTCTATTGACCGAGCCAGCCAGGCACCCCAAGGAAGCTATCTTAATTTAATTAATCTACAAAATGATTTTGTTCCATTCTTGAAAGATAATTTTTCTGGGAACAGGATTATAGGTTAGCATTTGTCTTCTTTCAGCACACTCAATATATCATTTCCACTGTTATCTGGCTTCCAATGTTGCTTTTAAAGAGTTATTATCAATTAATAATGGAGAAATATCCTCTCAGTGGCTGAATTCTGGTGCTCACCATCAAGAGAAAAGCTGAAATTTATTTGCAAGACAATCATTTACAGAATACATCATCAGAATACAAAGAACTAACCAGTTCTGAGAGGTAGTTCGTATACATCTATAGATTACAAACTTTTGCATCGCTCCTTTTCTTTTCTCAGCAGCAGAATCATTTTGTCACAAATAAGTAAGTAAAACAGATAAAAAGCACAGCCCGAACCCCTTCCAAGAGTTTGAAAATCACTGTGTATACCAGAAAAGTCTGATGAACAATTTCAGTTCTACACTTGAGTATATGTTTTTCTTTAAGCATATGAATTCAACTGTTTACCAGACAATATACAGTTCTATACAGACAGTCAGAGAGATGATCTGAGTAAAATTTTTAAGAACTCAGGCTTAAGTTCCTCAGGCTGTCAGCTCATTCTCCTCAAGAATCTAGGCAATCTGGCATTGTCATCTGCCAGGATGCAACATGGCTCACCTTGGATATGTAAAATGCTAGACATGGCTACACTTTTCAGTGATATTCTCAGAGACAGAATGCCAATAAAGATACAGATGACCTGTTTACAGTAAGCCATGCTTTCCTTGCCCAGACTACCGGTTGCTTTTACCAACAGACAAGGATGGAGAAACCACTGCTATTATGATCTCTCCATCCTTGTAGTTAACGCATGGAGACATGTATACATGCTTCATGCCATCAATCAATATTTACTAAGAACCTACTATGTGCCAACCACTGTTCTAAACAATGAGATATAAGAGCTCAGCCCTCATAAAACATTCTAGAGGGAGATGAGAGCCAAGCAAGTAAATAAATAAATAATAATTCCAGATAACGGTAAGTGGTAAAGAAAATCAAATAGGATTGTGGGAGAGGAAATGACTGAGGAAAAGGAGGGTGACTAATTTCAACAAGTTGTCAGAAAGGGTCTCTCTAACAAACTGATATTTGACCTGAGATCTGAATAATGAGGTACCAGAAACATGAAGATCTGGAAGAACAACATGTAGGGTAGTAAAACAATGTTCCACAGTAGGCAATCAGCCAGTAGAAAAACCTGAAATAGAAATGAACTTAACATGCCCGAAGAACAGAAGAGCAGTCAGCATTACTAGAGAGTAGTAAAAAAAAAAAAAAAAAGGATAATTATATGAGGTGAAGTTGGACAGATACAGAATCTAGGTCATGCAGCATATCATAACTAATAAGGATTTTGTATCTTATTGGAGTTACAGTGGAGGTTTTTAAGGAAAGGAAGGGGGCACAGGCATCAAGGGGAGGGTTATTTTACAAAGATCACTCTGAGTGCTGGGGGAAAGAATAATCTTTTACAAAGAGTACAACAAATACTACTAGGACAACTGGATATCCACATGCAAAAGAATAAAAATGGATCCCTCGTCAAACTATATACAAAGATTAACTCAAAATTGATCAATCACACTCCTAAATACAAGCACTAAAACTTTATAAAACTCTTAGAAGAAGATACAGGAGTAAATCTTTGTGACTTTGGGTTAGGCAAAGCCTTCTTAGGACACCAAAAGCATAAGCAACAAAAGAAAAAAAAGATAAATTGGACATCATCAAAATTAAAAACTTTTTGGCTTTTCAAGAACACCATCAATAAAGTGAAAAGACTATCCACAGAATGGTAGAAAATATTTACAAATCATTTATCTAGTAAGAGACTTATACCTAGAATATATAAAGAACTCTTGCAACTCTATAACAAAAAGACAAATAGCCCAATTAAAAATGGGGAACGGATCTGCAGACATTTCTCCTAAGAAGATATACAAATGGCCAATAAGCACATGAAAAGATGCTCAACATTATTAGTCAAAAGAAATACAAACAGGGTGCGTGGGTGGCTCAGTTGGTTAAGCGACTGCCTTCGGCTCAGGTCATGATCCTGGAGTCCCTGGATTGAGTCCCGCATCGGGCTCCCTGCTCTGCGGGGAGTCTGCTTCTCCCTCCGACCCTCCCCCCTCTCATGTGCTCTCTCTCATTCTCTCTCTCTCAAATAAATAAAAATCTTTAAAAAAAAAAAATTAAAAAAAAAAAGAAATATAAACAAATCCACAATGAGATGCAATTTTATACCTATTAGTATGACTATAATCCAAATAACAGATAATAACAAGTGTTGGTGAGAATGGGGACTCAACTTCGTAGGTAACTCCTAACTCCTTGAAGTTATAGTTAGAAGTCTTGGACACACAAAAAAAACACACACACAAAAAAAACACACAAAAAAAACCACACACAAAAAAAACCCACAAAAAAAACCCACAAAAAAAACCCACACACACACACACACACAAAAGAAGTCTTGGACAAACTGAGCAGTCTGGAGTACAGTGCCCTTAACCTCACAGTTTGGCTAATTTCAGGTAAAACCACAAAAATATAACAATCAGAGGGGCACATGCGTGGTTCAGTCGGTTAAGTGTCCGACTCTTGATTTCAGCTCAGGTCATGATCTCAGGGTCATGAGATCGAGCCCTGTGTTGGGCTCCATGCTGCGTGTGGAGCATGCTTAAGAGGCTGTCTCTCTCCCTCTGCCACTCATGCTCACTCTCTCTCTCTCTCAAAAAAAAAAATTATATATATATATATAAAACAATCAGAAAGTATAAATCTAGATTAAATTTCCAAATGAATAAAATTTTACTACATTTGTGTTTATATAATTTTAAATTTTCTACTTACCTGTGGATCCACTAACCACCCATGGTACAAAGGAATATCAAGAAGATCAAATACAATGCATTCTGGTGTATACTCAAATACTCGAACACCAGTGAATTTTACGTTTACATCCAAGCCTGTCTGTAGTTTGTGCAAGATTGCCATAGCATCACTCATATTCTGAATATAGAAAGGAGAAAGGTAAAGATGAGAAAAATCAAACGACAATGACAATGACAACAACAGCAAAGATACTTGAATGCAGGCACATTTACTTCTACTTTTCCATTTTATCCAATTTATTTGTCCCTTCAATTTTTATTAAGTGCCTACTATGTACCAGGTACTAATTTGAGTTCTAATGAGGTAACAGTGAATAAAACAAATTTCCTGATCTCCTGTAACTAATATTCTATTTTGAGAGACAAATATATATATACAATATAATGTCAAGTATTTAAGGAAAATTGAATAGGATAATGACATACAGACTGACAGGGATGAGGGACCTATTTTAGACCAGAAAGACCAAAGACAAAGTTTCTAGTCAAAGGGTATTACCTCTCCCACTTTGGGGCATATATCCAAAAGAATTGAAAATAACATCTTTTTTTTTTTTTTTAAGATTTTATTTATTTATTTGAGAGAGTGAGAATGAGAGAGAGAGAGAGAGCATATGAGAGGGAGGAGGGTCAGAGGGAGAAGCAGACTCCCTGCTGAGCAGGAAGCCTGATGCGGGACTCGATGCCGGGACTCCAGGATCATGACCTGAGCCGAAGGCAGTCGCTTAACCAACTGAGCCACCCAGGCGCCCCGAAAATAACATCTTGAAGAGATACTTGCATCCCCATGTTCATTGTAGCATTATTCATAATAGTCAAGAGGTGGAAACAGCCCAAATGTCCACTGACAGATAAATGGATAGAGACACTGTGGTATATACATACAATGGAATATTATTCAGCCTTAAAAAAAAAAAAAGGAAATTCTATCAGGGCGCCTGGGTGGCTCAGTCGTTGAGTATCTGCCTTCGGCTTGGGTCATGATCCCAGGGTCCTGGGATCGAGCCCCGCATCGGGCTCCCTGCTCGGCGGGAAGACTGCTTCTCCCTCTCCCACTCCCCCTGCTTGTGTTCCCTCTCTCGCTGTGTCTCTCTCTGTCAAATAAATAAAATCTTAAAAAAAAAAAAAAAAAGGAAATTCTATTACATGCTACAATATGGATGAAACTTGAGGACATTATGCTGAGTGAAATAAGAAATCACAAAAGGACAAATGCTATGTGATTCCACTTACATGAAATATCTAGGTAGTCAAAATCCTGGAAACATAAAGTAGAACGGTGATTGTCAGGGGATGGACAAAGGGAAAGCTGGGGAGTTGTTCAATGGGTTTAGAGTTTCACAGTTTTACAAGATGAAATGTTCTAGAGATCTGTTATCAACGTGAATATAGTTAACACTACTGAACTATACACTTAAAAATATTAAGGGATTAAATTTTATATGTTTTTTTAAGATTCTATTTATTTATTTGAGAGAGAGAAGAGAGCATGAACAGGGGAGGGTCAGAGAGAGAGGGAGAAGCAGACTCCCCACTGAGCAGGAGCCCGCCTCAGGCAATTGATCCCAGGACTCTGGGATCATGACCTGAGCCGAAGGCAGATGCTTGACTGACGGAGTCACCCAGGCGCCCCTAAATTTTATATTGTTTTTAAATCACAATTTAAAAAGAAAAAGAGGGCGCCTGGGTGGTTCAGTTGTTAAGCGTCTACCTTTGGCTCAGGTCATGGTCCCAGGGTTCTGGGATCGAGCCCCACATTGGGCTCCTTGCTCAGTGGGGAGTCCTGTTCTCCCTCTCCCTCTGCTCCTGCTTGTGTCCCCTCTCTCTCTGTGTCTCTCTCTGTCGAATAAATAAATAAAATCTTTAAAAAAAATAAAAATTAAAAATAAAAAAAAAGAAATGAGCTATCAAGCTTGAAAAGACACAGGAAATTTAAATGTACATTGCTAAGTGAAAGAAGCCAACCTGAAATGGCTACATATTGTATGAGTCCAGATGATATTCTGGGAAAGGCAAAACAATGGAGGCAGTAGAAAGATCAGTGGCTGCCAGGGATTAGGAAGAGGGAGGGACGTATAGGCAGTGCACAGAGGATTTTTTAGGGCAATAAAACTACTCTGTATGGAACTATAATGGTGGAAATTTGTCATTATACATTTTCAAAACCCACAGAACGTCTAACAAGAGTGAACTTTAATGTGAACTATGGACTCTGGGTGATAATTATGTATTGATGAATGGATATTGATAGTAGGGGAACATTTGTATGTGTGGGATGGGGAGGCAGGGAGGGACAGGAGGTATATGGCAACTCTGTTCTTTCCACTCAGTTTTGCTGTAAACTGCTTTAAAAAGGTGGGGAAGCTCTATAAAAATGGCACTTAAATATCAACCAAAGCAAAACACTGACTCTGTGAAGCTCAGGGGAAAAAAAGCACTCCAAACAAAGTAGACACTAGTACAAAAATTCTGATGCAGAAATGATTTGATACTATGTCCATGGAACAGCAAGGAGTCCTGAATAGCTAGAAGAAAATTAAGTAGAAAGTGTAGGAGATGAAGTCAGAGAAAGAAAAAGACAAATACAAAGACTTGTTGCCCAAATTAAGGAGTCATTCTGTCCACCTCTGTTTTCTCTGTAAATATGGTCACATAGATCTGTAAGGAATACTATTTTAAAACATGTTTTTCTTAACATTTTTAATACAGTAAATATGGTCATACTTATAGAGGATTTATTTGATGAAACAAAAAACGCCAATATATAATTTTTTTTAGATTTTATTTATTTATTTGACACAGAAAGAGAGATAGCGAGAGCAGGAACACAAGCAGCGGGTTAGAGGGAGAGGGAGAAGCAGGCTTCCCACCGAGCAGGGAGCCCGATGCAGGGCTCGATCCCAGGACTCTGGGATCATGACCTGAGCTGAAGGCAGACACTTAATGACTGAGTCACCCAGGTGCTCCCCAATATATAAAATTTAATACAATTTTTATTTAATCCCTACTGTTAATCAGACACTGTGCTACATATTGAAGATATAAAAAAATAGGAGGGGACTATAGCTTACCAGGGGTCTTATACTAGAAAGGGTGAACATGAAATAAATCCTTTTATATTAAAACTAGGGACTTTCTCTGAAATCTGAAAAAGACAAACTTAGGTCATAAGAACAAAATTCTATTTTACCAAATAACATAAAACTCCATTTGAAGAGACTATACAGACTGAAAATAGAAATTACTCAAATCTTTTAAATTTATCAATGAAGAATTTATAATAGGATAACATTGTTATATAGTCTGGCTTTCATCAGTTTCACCTCTTCCTAATAACTATATTCTCCGAAAACAATATATTTTTTCAATCTTCCCAAAAGTTGAACCCTTGAAAATAATCAGCTTACATTTTTTCCCTCAGTGTTATAAAACTTTTCCTAAGCCATAGCAATGATGAATCTGAAAAAATGGTAATAGTGGGCTATTGTAGGATTATAGTTCTACTGCTACTAGTTTTTCTTCTACATTTGTTAAATTCTTGGTTGCCAGTCACCCAATTTCCTTTAGGGTAGGTATAATTTCTAATAGCTCCTGGGCTCATGCTAACACTTTTATACATCTTCTATATTTCTTTATAAATTATGTAATATTAAAATATCTATGGGCGCCTGGGTGGCTCAGTCGGTTAAGTGTCTGCCTTCGGCTCAGGTCATGATCCCAGCATCCTGGGATCGAGCCCCGCATCAGGCTTCCTTCTCAGAGGGAAGCCTGCTTTTCCCTCTCCCACTCCTCTGCTTATGTTCCCTCTTTCGCTGTATGTCTCTCTGTCAAATAAATAAATAAAATCTTAAAAATAAAATATCTAAATTGACAGCATTTGATAATCTCCATAAATATTAATAACACTGATTTAAAAAATGAACATTTGTAAACAAAGAACTAAAGGATAAGTATTTTGCCATTTTGTTCCTAAATCCAAATTATGATATTAATAATATCAAATATAAATCCTTGGGATGGTTGCTTATATCCCAAGAAAGAATTACTATTGATTCCTTTAAGTCAGTGGTTAAACTGTTTTTTAAAGTTTTTCACAAAGTACTTCTGACATGGTGAAATATTTTTAATTTAAATATAAAATATACTTTAAAAATATATTTGCAGTCATTTAATAACCTGTCATACATACACAGACACACAGTGCTTTCTTGTGTTGTCAGGGTATCTACCATTAAACAAAACTGGAAAAAATACGCTTTTTGTTTATATTACTACTTCTGGCAAAGAAGTTTAATTAAGAAGATTTCAGCTCTACATTGATCTTTCTTAAATTTAAGGCTTAAAACTTTCTGTTCACATAAAATTATACAAAAAAGAACACTATTAAATCACACCTGTAGAACATTAAACACCAGCTTAAACTCAGCCTTATCAGTTTGGTACATGTTATCCTCACAACTAATGGTAATGTAATCATAATACCTTATAAACAGTTTTAAGAGTGCATCTTATATGTAGGGTATTTTTTATCTGACATGTATTTCTCTTAAGAAATATAAGTGGCTGTTAGATACTGTTTCAACTTGAAACAAAACTTTACTTCCAATCATTTTCCAAGAGTCTAGATCACCTTAATGGAAGTATTTCCTGAGACTGCAAGATGGCCTTGAAAAAACAAACAAAATGCTGATATTATTGGCAAATACTCATCAATCAAGATTTTCTCAAGACTGTGCAACAAAAATAAACAAATGTTGAGGGTGATATGAAACTGCAACTATCATCTATAATTCCTAATTTCAAGTTTTTGTATTAAGCAAAACAGCCTCACTAATTTCAATAAGAGATGATATAAATTTGATAAATAATATAAATTGAATCTTATCACTTTATACTTATATCATTTACCGCTTTTCTATATTAGAGGTTAGCATGAGATTTCATTTGAAAAGACTTCCTAATGCAAAAAATATTTGGAAATTACTGCTTTAAGCTACAAATGCCAATAGAATTTAAATGACAGCATACCAATTTGGCTTTAGCTACACATTTCCTACCTTACAGAGTGAAGCAATGCAATATGTTTGGATTTTCAATTCTATTAGGACTAGATTATCTGATCATTCAAATTCAAAAAAATTTGCAATACTGAAATGAGTTTTGCTTCCTAAGTCAATTTGATACTGCTAAAAGTATTTAAAAATGTTGCTTTGAAAGTAAATATAAAGGTTCCAATGATGTCTGTTTCTTCCCTGATACTTCCTTTCACTATAAGAACCTGATACCATCTTGCCTTTTACTGTCAAATAGAAGAACAATACTGAAGAAAATGAAGGTCCCCTTGTTTCCTTCCAGCTCCAATAGTTTTGAGCTTCTCCTATTTTACAGAATAGAATCTCTAAAAAAATGCAAGAAATGTGGATACATTGAAACTACAAAGGAAAATATTTTGTCCTAATGACACACAACAGGCATCATTTACTCAACTTCCTCTCAAATATAATTATAAAATATAAATAAAACAAGGAAAGGTGAATCAATGACAAATTCACTTGAAAGTCAATTTTTCAAGAAAAATACCAGGTTATCATTCTACATAGATCTGTAGATCTGTGTTTCATTCCATATAGCATATATGTTCATATAAAGCAGAGATGGAAAAGTATGCCCTGTGGGCCAAAACTTGCTGAAGCTAAGAATGGTTTTTACATTTTTAAAGGGTTGTAAAATAAGAAAACAAATATGCCTACGAGCCACTGACAGAGACCAATGAATACATCCATTAAGTTAAAAATTACACATTTAAATATAACAAAAATTGTGTCTATTACCTGCTCATAGTTTAAACGTTGAATTTCTGAAATTTCTTTAGGCTTTGCATCAAGCATGTAATCTCCTGTAAAAAGAAATTGTGAAATTGCCTTTTTAAAATATTACTTTTTCATTACAAAGGTAATGATTTTAATTATAAATTGTAGAAATAAGTGACACAAAACTGACCCCCAGTTCTACTCAGAGAAAGATCAGTGTTAACTAATTGCTATAACCTCAAATATTTTTTCAGTGTACATACTATAATGCTTTTGAACGTACTTCTTCTACTTTCCAATATATTTGAGCATTTTTCCATGTCACTACAATAAAGCTCTAAAAGGCTGTACCAAGTCTCATTGCTATCAACAATATAAACTGCTACCTCATTACTTTCTCAAGAATGGGTGTTACTGGGTCACCTGGCTGGCTCAGTAGGTTAAGCAACTGCCTTCGGCTCAGGTCATGATCCCAGGGTCCTGGAATTGAGCCCTGTAGGCTCCCTGCCCTGCGGGGAGCCTGCTTCTCCCTCTCCCTCTGCCTGACACTCCCCCTACTTGTGCTCTCTCTCTCTCTGTCAAATAAATAATAAAAAATCTAAAAAAAAACAAAAAACCAACAGCTGTTATCAGTGTTTTAAATGTTTGCCATTATAAGAAGTACACAAAATATTTTTTGCCCTTGAGAAATCGGTATATATATATTTTTGTTATCACCCTTCCCCCCCATCTTTTTAATATATGTATGACTTTTAGTATATGTGGCACCTTTTAAATGTATGTAACACCATTTTAATATACGCAGTAACTTTTCTAAATTTTTTTTTAAAGATTTTATTTATTTATTTGACAGAAAGAGACACAGCGAGAGAGGGAACACAGGCAGGGGGAGTGGGAGAGGGAGAAGCAGGCTTCCCGCTGAGCAGGGAGCCCGATGCAGGGCTTGATCCCAGGACCCTGGGATCATGACCTGAGCTGAAGGCAGACGCTTAACGACTGAGCCACCCAGGCACCCCATGTAGTAACTTTTTTATCTATGTTTTGCCTTTTTACTTTTTTATTTTATTTTTAAAAAGATTTTATTGATTATTTTAGAGAGAGGAAGAGCACATGCAAGCAGGGGAAGGAGCAGAGAGGGAGAGTGGGGGATAGAATCTCAGGCCACCTCCGCACTAAGCGTGGAGCCCAATGTGGGACTTGATCTCACAACCCATAAGATCATGACCTGAGCCAAAACCGAGAGTCAGATGCTTAACTGACTGAGCCACTTGGGCGCCCCTATGTTTTGCCTTTTTAATTATATATTAACTATATATACTTTCCTTTTTTTAAAGATTTATTAATTTGAAAGAGAGAGCAAGGAAGTGGGAGGAGGGGCAGAGGGAGAGAATCTTTAAGCAGACCCCCTGCTGAGCAGGGAACCTGAGAGGGGTGGGCTCAATTTCACAATCCATGAAATCAATACCTGAGCAGAAACCAAGAGTCAGACACTTAACCAACTGAGCCACCCAGGCACCCCTATACTTTTCTTTTAATTGCCTGTCTATATAAGTATCATTTTTCCTTATTGAACTATAGAAGTTTTTTTAGTAAAATGACTTTTTAAAAGATTTTATTTTTAAGTAATCTCTACACCCAACATGGGGCTCAAACTCATAACCCAGAGACCAAGAGTTGCATGCTCCACTAACTGAGCCAGCCAGGCACCCCACCCCTTTCTTTTTTTAAGATTTTTTTTATTAAAGATTTTTATTTATTTATTTGAGAGAGAGAGAGCACGAGCGGGGAGGAAGGGCAGAGGGAGCAGGCGAAGCAGACTCCCCACTGAACAGGGAGCCCACCTCAGGCAATTGATCCCAGGACTCTGGGATCATGACTTGAGCTGAAGGCAGACGCTTAATTGACTGAGCCACCCAGGTGCCCTTAAGATTTTTAAAATGCTCTTTTTTAAAAATGGAAGTATAGTTGATACACAATGTTATATTAGTTTCAGGTATACAATATAGTGACTCAACAACTCTATATGTTATGCTATGCTCACAAGTGTAGCTATCATCTGTCATCATACAGCACTATTACAACATTAATGACTATATTTCCTATGCTGTAACTTTCATCTCCATGACTTATTCATTCCATAACTGGAAGCCTGTACCCTCCCACTCCCCTTCACCCATTTTGCCCATCTCCTCACGCACCTCCCCTCTGGCAACTACCAGTTTGTTCTCTATATTTATGGGTCTATTTCTGTAAAAACTCCTTTTCAATCGGAAGAATTAGAACACTTCCTGTTATACTGTGTGGTAAATATTTTTTCCCCTATATTGTATTCTAACTTTATGGTGATGCTTTTTGTCTATTTTTTTTTTTTTACCATACAGAAATATTTAATTTTAATAAAGTCAAATTCTTCTATTATGGTTTCTGGTTGGATGTCATGTTTAGAAAGATCTTTACCTCTTAAGCATATACAAACATTCACATGTGCTTTCTTCATGTAATTTTTTGTTTACCTTTTTAATGTTTAAATCTTTAATTTATCTGGAATTTATTTTGATATAAATAGTGATATATGGAACTAACTTTTCGCCTAGCCTCCCAAATCACTACGTTGATAAAACTGTATGGGTTTTGTTTTGTTTTTTAAGATTTTATTTTTAAATAATCTCTGCACTCAACCTGGGGCTTGAACTCACAACCCAGAGATCAAGAGTTGCATGCCCCACTGACTGAGTCAGCCAGGCAACCAAAAATTGTTTTTAATATAACTTTTATTTTTCTAATTCAAAATAAACCTCTAAAGAGTGCATCAAGTGTTTTCTTAAGCTTTTCAACAAGAGATTTCTGATAACATCAAGAATCTCTGATAACAGAAGATTCCTATGAACATCAATATATTATTACTTGTGCTTTGTGTGTGTGTGTGTGTGTGTTTTAAGATTTTATTTAGGGGCACCTGGGTGGCTCAAGTTGTTAAGCGTCCGCCTTCGGCTCAGGTCATGATCCTGCTCCACGGGAAGCCTGCTTCTCCCTCTCACACTCCCTCTGCCGTGTTTCCTCTCTCACTGTGTCTCTCTCTGTCAAATAAATAAAATCTTTAAAAAAAAAAAAGATTTTATTTATTTATCTGAGAGCGAGCATGAGCGGGGCAGTGCAGAGAGAGGGAGCAGCAGACTCCCCACTGAGCCAGGAGCCCGAGGTGGGCCTTGATCCCAGGACCCTGAGATCATGACCTGAGCCAAAGTTGGACACTCAACCAACTGAGCCACCCAGGTGCCACCTGTGTATTCTTTTAATTAGAACTTTTTTTTTTAAAGGTTTTATTTATATATTTGACAGAGAGAGAGAGAGAGAACACAAGCAGGGGGAGATGCAGGCAGAGAGAGAGGGAGAAGCAGACTCCCCGCTGAGTTGAGCAGGGAGCCCGACATGGGGCCCGATCCCAGGACCCCGAGATCATGACCTGAGCCGAAGGCAGATGCTTAACCAACTGAGCCAGTCAGGTGCCCCAATTAGAACTTTTTAAAAAAAGATTTTATTTATTTATTTGACAGAGAGAGAGAGAGATAGCGAGAGCAGGAACACAAGTAGGGGGAGTGGGAGACAGAGAAGCAGGCCTCGCGCTGAGCAGGGGCCCGATGTGGGGCTTGATCCCAGGACCCTGGGATCATGACCTGAGCTGAAGGCAGACGCTTAATGACTGAGCCACCCAGGCGCCCCTAATTAGAACTTTAAGTTATCAAATCTAACTAGTAATGATTTTATTCCACATAGGCACAAGAACTCCCAAAGCACTAAATTAACTGATCATAAAAATGTATGAGCAAGTCTACTTACCATTTTTGAGTCCTCTCTATACACAGCACATTGTATATTTGTATGTTGAGGCTTTCATTTGGCATTTAACTGAAAACTATGCTTTAAGTAAATTCTATATACCACTTATTCAAATAACTGAGGACACAATTACTATACTTGTATCTTATACTTAGGTTCTGTATTTATCCTGATAAAAGACTGTACTTGCTCTCCTCACTAAAACCTTAGTGGAGTCAGGATGCAGAACATTCTAGAATTCAATATTAAATGACCCTGATTATGCTATCATAGATAAAACTTAAATGCTAAGGGGCGCCTGGGTGGCTCAGCCGGTTAAGCGGCTGCCTTCAGCTCAGGTCATGATCCCAGGGTCCTGGGATCGAGTCCCACATTGGGCTCCCTGCTCAGCGGGGAGCCTGCTTCTCCCTTTCCCTCTGCCTGCCTCTCTGCCTACTTGTTCTCTCTCTATGTCAAATAAATAAATAAATAAAATCTTTAAAAAAAAAACACTTAAATGCTAAGAGTAGAATAATTATTGTGAAAGACTCAAATACACAACTCCTCTTTTCCTGAAGCCAGAAAAGGTTTCTGCACAAGAGAATAACCTGGCTAAGGTAGGCAGCTTCTTAGGTGGACCTCAACAGGGGCACCTGGGTGGTTCAGTTGGTTGGGCATTCAACTCTTGAGCTCAGCTAGGGTCTTGATCTCAGGGTCGTGCTTGGCATGGAGCCTACTTTTAGATGGACCTCAATAATTCCCATCTTCTGGTATTCATATCTTTGTATAATCCCCTTCCCTTGAGTATGGGCTGGACTTATTAATTCACTTCTAGTGAATAAAAAAATGGCATAAATAATGAAATGTCACTTCTGAAATTAGAATACAGAATTATTGTGGCTTTTGTCATGATGCTCTCCCACTTGCTCACTCTGAGGAAAGCCAGGTGGCATGTTCTGAACTGCCTTATGGAGAGGCCTGCATGGCATGGAACTAAAGGAGGACTCTGGCTATGGTTAGTGAGGAACTGAGGACCTCAGTCCAACAATGTATGAGGAACTCAATCCTGCCAACAACCATGTGAATAACCTTAAAGCAGATCCTCCTGAGTTGGGTCTGGGGATGAGACTGCAGCCCCAGCTGACACCCTGACTGCAGCCTCATGAGAGACCTTGAGCCAGTCACTTAGCTAAGCCATGCCTAGATTCCTGATGTACAGACACCATTAGATAATAAATGTTCATTATTAAACCAGTGAATTTTGGGGTGA